TCTCTCTCCCTTCTCTCTGTACAAAATCAATAAAAATATATTTAAAAAAATAATTTAAAAATAAAAATATATATAACTTTGTAAGATTGAAAAATTACTATTTCCTATTGGTGGAGCACAGAGTTCTATCTATGGACACTTGATCAAGTTCTTTTCTTAGGGTGCTCAAATCTTCTATGTCCTAAATTATTTGCTTGATCCATTAGTATCTGAAAAGGGGGAGTTTAAAGACTTCCACTATGATAATGGGCTTAATTTCTACAATTAGGTCAAGTTTTGCTTTGTACATTTTGAAGCAATGTTGTTAGTATTCTGTGGGTTTAAAATTGCTTTATTTTCTTGGTAAATTATCCTTTTATCATTTAGTAATAATATTTTTTAAATTTCAAAATCTACTGCTTGGTATTAGTATAATTACAATTTCTTTTTAGTTTGCATTCGCCTAGTATATTTTGTCTCACTAAATTACTTTCAACTTTTCAGTATCCTCTGCTTTAAGTTTTGTCTCTTATAAACCACATGTATCTTAAAATACTTTTAAAATAATTTCTATTATTTGGCTAATTTGAAAATTTACATTTATTGTGGTTACTAATATAATTGGACTTATTTGCATCTTTTTTGTTTTGTTCTTTATGTTTACTATATGTGTGGGTTTTTTTACTTCCTGTTCTCCCCAAGCATTATTTTCCTTCCTTCTCGTGGAGTTGTCAAATTTTCTTTGTTCCTCCATTGCTTTAAAAGTTATATATTCCATTTATTTTTACTTTAATGTTAATGCTTATACATGAACTCCTGACTTAAAATATGTAATACCTCAATCTTCCTTCTTAATGTGATAAGGGTCTTAGAATGCTATACCTTCTATCTCCTCCCATTCTTCTGCCACATTATTACTTTCCAATATTTAATTATATCTTTTAAAAATTATTACTATTTTTTCCATTATTTCATGTTTTACTTTTTCCATTCTCATTTAAAATTCCATTGCTGTTAAATAACATTATTTAGTTACAATCCTGGTCTTTTAATAATCTGCTTTTTATAACAAACTAGAGGCCCAGTGCACAAATTCATGTACCAGTAGAGTCCCTTGGCCTGGTCTGTGGGATTGGGCCGAAATGGGCTCTCCAACATCTCCTGAGGGGTCCCAGATTGTGAGAGGGGGCAGGCCAGGCTGAGGGACCCCACCAGTGCATGATCAGGGCTAGGGAGGAACGCAGGAGGTTGGTCAGCCAGGGAAAACCACAGGAGGGCTCCAGAGCATGACAGGCCTCACTCAGTCCTAATTGATCAGACCCCAGCAGCAAGCTAACCTACCAGTTGGAGTGTCTGCCCCTTAATGATCAGTGCAAGTCATAGCGAGCAGTTGAACAGCCTTAGTTTATCATTAGCATATTATGCTTTGATTGGCTGAACAGACGACCTGACAATTAGCATATTAGGCTTTTATTATATGGGATAATTTGCAATTAAAGTGAATACTGCCTTGATCATTATTTTTCTTTCAGATCCATATTCTCTTATCATCACTTTGTACTGAACAGTTTTATAAATGAGCCTTCAAACAGAGCTGATCTTGAAAAAATGCAAAAGGTTAGTATTTCTTATCTAAGCTAAAATAAATCTAGGAATTTCTTTTTTTTTTAAGTCAACAAATATTTGAAGATACTTCTTAGAATATATACTTATACTCTCTCCATATATAAAACCAAACTTGCAAAGGATATTTTTATAAACATAGTTCTTTCCTTCTTTTATTGAAGATTAAAATAATATTAAGCAGCAAATATATTTGGCAAATTACTAATGGAAAAAAATTCTCTTCCACGGATATAGGAAAAGGAATTGGTTTACATGCTAGCTGATATGAACAAACTATTGCCTCTAAAGACTTTTTATGAATTTAAGAGTAACATTGAATGATTTCTAACACGTGAAATCAATGTAAGTTGATCTTGATTTAAAAAGAAAATCTGAAACAGAGTTCAAAGCTGACATTGAAAAAATGCCTCATAAACATCTGCACATATCTACTGTAGATGGGGAGATATAGCATACACTTTAGAAAGCATTATTCTATCTCACTTATTTTTTTATTGTGAAAAAGTATACACAACAAAATTATTCATTCATTTCTAGAGTGGTTAAGCGGCATGCCTAAGACCACTCAGAAAAGATGAAGTCCTAAATGGTTTGTGGTTCGACAATTGTGAAGACTAGTTGTTGGGGTAGAATGGGTGTGGTTCGGGGAAGGTGGAAAGGAATAGGATTCTACATGTTCAGGCTCATGGGATTTCCCAGCAGAGCCATTCTTGGAGTATTCTGGTTAGCCAGCAGAGGTTGACCATGCAGTGGAGAAGGGGAAAGAGGACAAACACGAAGGCTTCTCACCAACCACCCCCAAAATAAATACAACTAAAGGCTCAGTCCACTTTTTAATCATTAAAATGTTAGAGAGGAAAGTCCAACACTTCAGATTTGCTTTAACAAGAATAGTTCTTTTGCTTCCGGGGGACTGCAAGTCTGGATCAATAGCTAGGTCATTAGGATGGCTCAGAGGCCTGCAGGACTTAAGAGTAACTTTCATTTGTGTGGAGCACTGCTTGATGAAAAGGGAACAAAACTAATGAGATCTCTATGTTTAAGGATCTCACCATATCAGTGGAAGACACATGTTCAAAGACCAGAAAGAATCAGTAACTGGATCCAGGCCTTTAGGAAATGCCAGGGTGGTAAGACATTTGGCCTGGGTGTGTATGGCCTACATCAAAGTCTTAACACAACAGCACTCACTATTTACTGATTGCTTACTACAGTGCCAGGCAACAGACTGGGCACTACTTTTTCCTTCATAATACTTCAATAGAGGCAGGCATTATTATTTCCATTTTACAGATGAGGACATGGACTCAGAGAGGTCAAGTACATGTCATTCGTTGAAAGCAGAGGTAGGGATTTAAACCCAGGTGTGACATAAGAACCAAGCTTTATTAGTTTGCCTTATAACCCCTTCCATCACAGTAATGGAAGGAACAGCCTTTCAACTTGTATCTTAAAACACTTTCGTTGGCATGGCTCAGTGGTTGTGCATCAACCTATGAACCTGGCAGTCAGGGTTCAATTCTCGGTCAGGGCACATGTCTGGGTTGTGGGTTCGATCCCCAGTGGGCGTCATACAGGAGACAGTCGATTAGTGATTCTCTCTCATCAGTGATGTTTCCCTCTCTGATATCAATAAAAATATATTTAAAAAACACTTTGTAGATATAACATATTTGAAAGAGGAAGGCAAAAAATAACCTCCATTCACCTGCTTACTCCTTCTTTAGCTCTCGATTTGAACATCATCTCTTCCAGGAGTCCTTCCCTGCTCTCCAAGCTGGGCTAACCTTCCAAAACAAGAGCCACCGTCCTTCGTGTGCAATTTCAAAAGCCAACAAGCTCTGAAAATTTCAAATATTTTCCTAAGTTTGTGGCAAGCTCATTTGGTGGTAAAAGATGACCTGAACTGATATGAAACTATTTTCAGTCTTTACTCTTCTACTCAGTGTGAATATTCATATTCTGATGTGGAAATAATAATGTGTTTGTTTAAGCCTTGCAGGGGTCTTCAAACTACGGCCTGCGGGCCACATGCGGCCCGCAGAGGAGTCTGATCCGGCTGCCAGGTTTTTGGGCAGTGAGCACAGCCGAGGTGTTACAGTAGGAATTAGTAGTTCATATAGTCCGGCCCTCCAGCTCTCTGAGGGACCGTGATCTGGCCCCCACTTTAAAAAGTTTGAGGACCCCTGGTTTAAGGGGTGCTGCTCAGACTCCATTGCAATTATTATAGAACTAGAGGCCCGATGCATGAAATTCATGCAAGAGTAGGCCTTCCTTCCCCCAAAATTCATGCAAGAATAGGCCTTACTTCCCCCGGCTGCCAGCACCAGTCCCTCCAGCACCCAAGACCCGGGCTTCCCTCTCAGCCCCAGCTTTGTTTGGAAGAACATCTGGTCTAATTGCATATTATGCTTTTATTAGTATAGATATATAATCTATGCATATTACTTTTCTAAAGATCCAAACATTTCTGACTTGCAAACCACATATGGCCCCAGGGTTTTCAGACGATGGATACTGGCCTTACACCCTATGCATAAATCTCACTGCACTACAAAAATTTATTCTTCTGTGTGAGTCCAGCCACTGGACGAAGTGCCTTGCATATAGTAGGGGCACAATAAATATTTCCAGAATGAAGAAACAAGGCTGAGAAATTGGCTAAGAAGGGCTAATGGTTAGTGGCTTGGAAATGACCATGGCTCTCAACTCGAAGGCCAGGAATCTAACCTTGGAATTCCACTTCCTCCTCTGGCAGGAGGGTCCTATAAATAGTTGCTGTTGATGGAAGGCAAGCAACATATTATAGCTGCTGTTTTCACTAGGAATAAAAATAGTCCAGTTTTCTTAGACGGCGGGTCCACATATAGCATTAGGTTGGTAACACAAAACAGCAGGCATACTCATCCTTCAGACCATATGAGCAGCTCAGAGGTCCCCCCGAGTTTGGGAGCCGACCTGCATTTGAGTCTGACCCCAGTAACGTTTTTGGCCTGCAGTTTGCTCATCTGTGAAATGGCAACCAGAATAAGTGGGAAGGCCCTGCCAGGCGGGTTGCTAACAAGGTGACCTGGAGTGTGAGGCAAACCTCAGGAGCTTCTTCATGCCTGTCTACTGTCCTCGAAGTTCAGAGTCCACCCTTCTCATTCCGTGGGCTCCGGCCAACCCACACACACCTCCTCTCTCATCCAAAAGAAACAGAGTCAATGCAAAAAGACAGTGGGCAAAAAATTCTGTGAAGAGTGGCCACCCAGCCTTTTTTGATCCCCTCAGAGAAGACGGGGTGGGATGGAGAGGAGGGGGCAATCACAGGCCAGCAGGATTTAATTTACAGAGGAAAGCTCTTAACCGCAGTCTCAGGACCCAAGAGGGGACTGGGGATGACCCCTTCTTACCTGGTAACACAGGATGGTTTGCTGCACCAGCCTAGCGTAACCGTCCAAGCGGACCCCGGAATTGCTCCTGCTCCTCATTTCGGCGATGCTGGGGCGCGGCGGGGGGGGGGGGGGGAACTATGCTGCACCCGACTTGCTGCGTGGAGGTGGGACGCCGGGCTGCGGCTGTCAAACCGGCCTGCTTGCCAAACACTCAGTCTCGGTCAGTTCTTGGGCTGGAGCCCGGAAGTCGGAGGTCGGAGCTAACAGAAAAGATAGGATCTAAGTGTGATCGGAAAACAAGCAGAGTTTCAAGAGGCTGGAGGGCGCGGGGGCTGGGACGGAGGCTGGCGCTCCTGCGGCCCGCTGTGGGGATCAGGGAACTGGAATCCAAGCGCGGGGCTAGGACCCGCCCGCCGAGCCTTTTTCGTCTAAAGGCGGTCGGGAGGAGGCCCGGGGGAGGACCCCGAGCCCGATCCTACCCCACAGCTGCGGCCCTGCCCCCTCCACACCTCCCACCGATCAGAACTCCCCGCGGCCAGAGAGGAAGGAGAATGGGGAGATCCGCGGGAGCAGCGGGGACCCCTGCCCACTCCGGGAGCCCATTACCTACCCGGGTGCTGCCGATCGCAGGGGAGGCTGGAGAAGGAGAGTCGCTCGCTGCAGCCACCTAGAATGCCCGCCCCCGCCTGGGCCCCGCCCCCGGACCCGCCCCCGCCCCGCCCCCGCCGCGGAGCGGAACTCCGAGCTAGGTAGGCGTGGGCTCCGCTAGGGGCCCCAGGCACCCCCAAATCCCTGCGGCGCGACTGGCCCCGCCTTTCGAGGTGAGTTTACAGACTGCACCCAGTCCTGCCCTCTAATCCCGCCCCCAGGCCTGTCCCCACCAGCCCAGCGGAACCCTCCAGGGGCGTGGGGGAAGAAGGGGGGAAGAAGGGGGTAGAGGGGGGAGGAGGGCTTGGGGCTGGGCAAGTGGCAGCCTGAAGGAGGCTCTCAGGATGAGCTGCCAATCTCACCAGAGGCGGGAAAAATAAACCCGCCCCCTGCGGCCTCTGGGGCGCCCCTCCAGGGGCCTGGTTCCTTACCATGCCCTTGGCTGAGTCTCCTGGGCCGAGTGGAAGCGGAATAGTGGGGTCCAGTAGGGAGGAGAAAAGGGGGTGGCCGAGACAGGGTCCCTAGCGCCCCCAGTCCCACTCCTAGTCATCTGGACGCTGCTCACCTGGCCAGGCCTGCAGTTAATCTCATAGGCCTACAATTTGAAACTTAGATTTGTTTATTGTGACCCATAATCACCCACACTTCGCAATTATTGGCCCAGAATTCATTTTCCACCAAAATCTGGCCCCACATGAATTCCACTGGACAGCTTCTCTAATGTAATCTTTGTTTCCACGAGCCCACGGCTGGTCCCCATACATTTACTGTCTGCTTGCTTCATCCAACAGGCCCTCCTCCTCCTCCTTGCCTATCTGAAGCCCATCTTTCCTTTAAATGTCCTATTAGTTCCTCCCTCCAGTTAGCCCTCCCTGTTCTCTGAATTCCCATAACAATTTCTTTACTAAGAGCTTAGGTCTTGGAGTGAATTCAAATTGACTTGAAATTCCAGATCTGACATGTACAGGTGGTGTGAGTTTAGGCATGCTGTTTGAACTGTTTCAGATTCACTGTTTTCATCTGTAAAATGGGGTAATAATAGGGTGGTTGTGAAGATTAAGAGGATGAACCAGCACTTAGAGCCATGCATGGTTCCCAGAAAAGTACTTCATAAATCATAGGTGTTTTCATTATCATTTGATGACAATGTATTGCCTCATTGTAATTGTTTTCATGTACAGCATGTTTTTCTAACGGGTTGTAAGGTATATATGGAAATGGTCATTGGTATTTCCTACAATGTCTGCTATAGTGTTGAGCATGTAGTTATAGTTCAATTAATATTGAATGAATGAATGAATGAATGAATGAAAATCAGTCCTGCTCAGCTGGGTTCCCCTATGTATAATCCCTGATCAGGTTCATTAAAAAAATTCTGTAACATAAATCTGTGTCACTCAACTAAAGTGCCAAATCCTTCATCTCTCACATCGTGTTTTTTTTTTTTTTTAATTTTCTTAATTAACTGTCTGGATAACTTTCTTTTTTTAATTCTTGATCTTCTACTTTATTTATCCAGATGGTCCCCAGGCCGGTGGAGATCCACCAATGGAAGTTTGTGATCTAGAGGTTCTTGAGCTCATAAACCTTTTACGGATACTCAAACCTCCCCCATATAATCTTTGCCCAAACTTCTAAACTCCACCCTGGTCTCTCCTCTCTCAAAACCATGGCTTCTTTCTCTTCAATACACACGTGTCTCCAATTTTGCTGGATGAGCCATGATTTTGCCAATGCAGCATCTAATTCTGAATACAGATTCCATATATTCTATTTCTACCTTCAAAGCTTATCACAGAAATCATCCCCAAACACAAGTGACTACATAAACATAGCATTTTACATACTTTTTAAAAATGTGTATATAGAAATATTTTTGTATTTTTTTTCTTTTATATATATATATTTTTTTATTAATTTATTAGCTGTGTACATATTTTAACATTGCCCCCTCTCATATATACCCTCCCTCCCCAGAGTTTTGTGTCCATTGGTTGTATTTATATGCATGTATACAAGTCCTTCAGTTGATCTCTTATCTCCCCCAGATCTCCCTACCCTCGCCGCTATAATTTGACAGTCTGCTTGTTGCTTTACTGTCTTTTGGTTCATCAGTTTATAATTTTTTATTTTATTTTTTTATTCTTTATTGATTAAGGCATTACATATGTGTTATTATCCCCCAGTGCCCCCACCCCCCAATTCGTACCCTCATCCACCTGGTGTCTGTGTCCATTGGTTAGGCTTATGTGCATGCTTGCAAGTCCTTTGGTTGATCTCTCCCCCTTCCCCCCACCCTCCCCTACCCTCCCTCTGAGGATTGATGGTCTGATCGCTGCTTCTCTGTCTCTGGATCTGTTTATGTTCATCAGTTTATGTTGTTCATTATATTCCACAAATGAGTGAGATCATGTGATATTTAACTTTCCCTGACTGACTTATTTCGCTTAGCATAATGTTCTCCAGGTCTATTGGAAAACTTTCTTAAATTACTCAGCAATTCATGTGATGTACCTCCATGCAGAATTTACTGTGGTCTAGGGCAGAGGTTGGCAAACTCATTAGTCAACAGAGCCAAATATCAACAGTACAATGATTGAAATTTCTTTTGAAAGCCAACTTTTCTAAACTTAAACGTCTTCTAACGCCACTTCTTCAAAATAGACTCGCCCAGGCCGTGGTATTTTGTGGAAGAGCCACACTCAAGGGGCCAAAGAGCCGCAGCTTGTCAACCATGAGTGTAGGGGTAAATAAAACTAGACATTAAGTTATTGCCAATTAAACCTCTTTTGTAATCTGAATATGTATACTTACTAGAACTCTGATATATTCTGCATCTAAGAGCTGGGATCATTGCTTCTTTTCATTACTGCTTTACTCACATTGAGTGCTTCTTCAAGAATCCATTTTGCAGCCATAATAAATAACTGATGACCTTTGCTTATTACCTGGCATTTCCATCCAGTATAGAAACATTTTCATTTCCTGATCTCATTTTTTACACATATACACCCTTTTTGGTATATACCCAGCCTACATTCTTAGGCTTTGGTCTGTGTGTCAATGTATATTATCATATGAGCTATATTTTTCAATCAGCTTGAAATTCAGGAATAAAACCAAGAAGGAAGACTATTACTTATTAACTTTTAATAAGTAATAATAGTAATAATTAATGTCTTTTTTTTACATTTGTTTAAAATCTTGCTTGGCGTTGACTTGTATTGACATAACCTTCAAACACGTGGTATCTACAGAATGTGTGAAGTGCAATTAACAAGTTTTGCTTGAAAAAGTTTGTGTTTGGTTTGGTTTTTGTTGCAAAACTAGGGCTAAGAAATGGCCGATGAAGAGCATATTCGGCACTGCATGCTTTACGAGTTCCAATTAGGAAGAAAAGCAAGTGAGGCTGCAAAAAACATCTGTAGTGCTCTTGGTCAAGATGCAGTTAGCGCCAGAAAATGCCAGCGTTGGTTTGAGAAATTTCGCGAGGGAAATTTTTCGTTAGATGACAAGAGTGGTCGAGGCCGTGTGTCCAATTTTGATCAAGAAGCTCTTCAAGCTCTTTTGGTGCAAAATCCTCAAATTACCCAACAAGAGCTTGTGACAACTTTAAATTGTTCACAAAAAACAATTTCCAATCAATTGCGTGCACTTGGCAAAGTCCAAAAGTTTGGAAAATGGGTTCCTCATGAGTTGACCGACAACAACCGTAATCAAAGAGTCACAATTTGCAGTTCACTCCTCTCTCGTCAAAACCGTTTGCCGTTTTTAGAGCAAATTGTTACCGGAGATGAACAATGGGTGCTGTATGTTAATTTGAAAAGGCGGCCTCAATGGGTGGACAAAAATGAGGCTCCGCAGCCCACGCCAAAATCTGACTTGCATGCGAAAAAAGTGATGTTGTGTGTTTGGTGGAATTTTAAAGGAATTCTTTATTATGAACTTTTACCATCTAACCAAACCATTACAAGTGCAGTGTATAGTGCCCAATTGGAAAGGTTAGCCCAAGCTTTAAGAGAAAAAGAACCCGCGCTGATTAATCGGAAGGGCGTAATTCTTCACCACGATAACGCACGACCGCATACTGCAAGAATCACTGCTGAAAAACTGCACCAGTTGGAATGGGAAGTTCTCCCTCAACCTGCATATTCTCCTGATATTGCCCCTTCCGATTACCATTTGTTTCGTTCTTTGCAAAACTTTCTTCTTGGAAAAAAATTTAATAATGAAGAATGCCTCAAAAATGCATTGACCGAATTTTTTGCATCAAAATCACAAGAATTTTACAACAGAGGGATTAAAATGCTTCCTGAGCGTTGGGCACAAGTAGTAGAAAACAACGGCAACTATATTGTTGATTAAATTTTGTTGTATTGTTTAAATAAATTCGATTTAAAAAAGTATTAGAAAACGACATTAATTATTACTAGACCTAATAGAAGCTGTGCTATATAAAAATGAGACATGTTTTAGTATCCTTGTGTCCCTGAGATATAAAACCTCTACCTCTTGGTCCCCATACCCATGAAGCCTTTTTCTGGTTGGGATCCAATAGAAACCTGTTTCTTGATCATTTCTCAAATTTTTGTCAGAAAGCAAATATGGAATGTGATGGGGTATGTTGTTGTTCTGTAGCTGGTTCATGATCTTCATAAAGGTGAAACCCCAGAACTGGATCCCGGAGTAACAGCAGGTCTGATTTCTCCGATTCCAGTCAGAGTATCTACCCATTGTCTTGCCACAGGGACTTCAGCCAAGGAAGTCCCCAGAGAACCACATGTCAGCATCCAAAACAGAAACCAATAAGTGGGTTCAAATCTTTGACTTTAAAGAAAGGCATTCCATCTCTGACACAGAAGAGAGAGTCCATTCTAAACCAATTTGCTGAAAATAGACAATTAGCTAAATTTAGTTAATTGACTGGAAATAATTTTGCTTTTCATCACTGCTCCAGCTTCCTATAGCTAGTTTGAGGTTGAGAAGTAAAGATTTCTTCCTGGTGAAGAATATAGGTATTTAAAAGAACATATTCTCAAGCAATGTGTTCAATTTTTGTCCGCCTTAGCTTTTT